CGATACCGATATATCGGCGACAGGCTCATATCGGCCGATAATATCGGCAAAACGATATATCGGTCGGGCTCTACTTCAGAGTACTAGTTATTTTAGTAAATGTATAAATTAAAACCTTAACTAGCCTCATTATATGGGGTCTCTTTGAGAGTACTAGTTAATTTAATAAACATGTATAAATTCAGACCTTAACCAGTCTCATTATACAGGGCCTCCTTCAGAGTACTAGTTAATTTAGTAAACATGTATAAATTTAGACCTTAACCAGCCTAGTTATACAGGGATTCCTTCAGACAACTAGTTAATTTAGTAAACAGAGAAATTTAGACTTTAAGCAGCCTAGTTATACAGGGCTTCCTTCAGACAACTAGTTCATTTAGTAAACATAGAAATGTAGACTTTAAGCAGCCTAGTTATACAGGGCTTCCTTCAGACAACTAGTTCATTTAGTAAACATAGAAATGTAGACCTTAACCAGCCTAGTTATACAGGGCTTCATTCAGACAACTAGTTAATTTAGCAAACATGTATACATTTAGACCTTAACCAGCCTCGTTATACAGGGCCTCCTTCAGAGTACTAGTTAATTTAGTAAACATGTATAAATTTAGACCTTAACCAGCCTAGTTATACAGGGCTTCATGACAACTAGTTAATTTAGTAAACAGAGAAATTTAGACTTTAAGCAGCCTAGTTATACAGGGCTTCCTTCAGACAACTAGTTCATTTAGTAAGCGTGTAGTTGTGCGCAGTAACGGACCGTTTGTTGAGCTCGGCTCTCTCCGAGTCGCTCTTGGCCTGCAGCGTCATCATTTCTGTCACCGTCTCTCTGAGCTGCTGCTCCAGCTGCAGCCGCTGGGCCGTCTCTCTCTCCAGCAGCAGCGATGAACCGTCCTCACGGCTGCGCAGATCTGCGCAGACGCGCACGCACTGCAGCTGCACGCTCTGCGCCGCGCTCGCCAGCTCGTTACGCACCTCGCACAGGTCCCTGACGGACAGACAGACAGACACGGCGTCAGTGTTTACCGCGCCTCAGCTCTAGAGTAGTGTGCACAGGTGCAGTGACACGGTCTGACCTCTCGGTGGCGCTCTTCAGCTCGCACACGTGTCTGCGGAAGCCCACCACCTGCCTCCAGAGCGCGAGCAGACGGCTGTGCTCGCTGCTGAAGTAACTGTGGAAAGACTGAACAAATGCACCACGTCAAACTGCGCCACTTTTTTCATCTGGGTTTCAGTGATGCGGATGGCCACACCCACCTCCTCCTCTCTCCTCCAATCAGACTCCCTCTGCTCCAGCTCCTCCCTGGCTTTGGTCCAATCAGCAGTGAGTCTGCGGATGTCCTGGCTGAGCGCCTCATTGGCCAGTCCGGCCTGTTCCAGCTGCTCCCGCAGCATGGCGTTCACGGCGGACAGGCCGCTGCTCCTGTGCACACACAAACACGCTTAGCACACGCTCACACTGCAGGTTTACAGGGCGGTGTTAGTCCAGTGAGTGGCACACCTCTGCTGTTCCTCCTCCAGCCGGATGAGGGCGCTCTCCAGCTCACTGCTCGGCTCATCCTCGTCCCGCCGGTGACCGTTACTGCTGCCGTCACACTGACCCTACAGCGGCACAGAGCTGGCCAGATTACTTACCGAACTATAGTTCGTTACTGATTACATGACAAAAACTGCACTTAGTAACATAATCCATGTCCACATTACATTGCTCATTTTTAGCTAATATAATCTGACTACTTTTTGATTACTTTGGACCTAACTGGTTTATCACATTTATTTAAATAGGATAATCTTGTACCATTGATGTAAAAATACAAAGAGAAAGAAACTATATGGCATTCGTATAGACAACATGCATTAAACGTTACATTGCGTCAAGGTTTCCCAAACTGGGGATAAAAAATGAAAAAGATTAGAATCAATAAATTATGAATCACTTATTGCTATTGTGTGAATAATATGTAATCATATAAATGAAGTCTAATTACGACTATTTTAAAATGTATTATAATTGGATTACTGGTATTTAATTTTTGTAATCTGATTATGTAATCCAGATTACATGTAATGAGTTACTACTCAGCACACAGAATGAGAACCTAGAGCTACAGTGAGACAGGAGGTGTGGCGAGTATCTGCTGTTCTCACAGTCGATTTCTCCAGCAGCGTCTGTTCGAGATCTGCACACTTCTTCTTGTACTGGAGAACCTGCACTCACACAAACACAAACGAGTTCTGTCAGGGAGAACCCAGGCGCAGTCAGTGCTTCAGATCCACTGTGCTGTACCTTGGCCTGTAGTTTCTGCACGAGCTGCGCTTGTCTCTGCTGCCCCTCCTGATATGCCGTCAGTTTGCGTTTATACGCCGCCTGCTCCTCGTCCAGACGTCTGCGCAGATCTACGTTCTGCTGCGCTAGACTGCGAGACTCTGGAGAGTCCCGTCCCTCCTCGCCCGTCTCCAAACGCAGCGCCTGCTCCAACTACAAACACCACACGATTACAGCGGAGCACTACTGCAGAGGTGATGAAAGAAAGTCTTTCACCTACTGTTTTTCCAATACTATAAACTTGGACATTTTGAAATTATACAGTCTAATTTAGATTAAAATATAGGCTAATAAAGCAACTAACCATATTCTTCATGCACTCATATTTTCATTCTTTCTTGTCTTTTGCTTAAATAAAATACATTAAAAATCAGTATTGGATTCTGCCATGAAAAGTTAAGATCGGTGCATCCCTAAATTTTAGAATGTCTGAAATGAAGAAATTAAGATTTAAATGTTAGTATTGCAGCTGCCTTTGGATGATAAAGTTTTTTGTCTTTGTTTCCTGTGTGCCATGTGCTCTCATGTCAATTGTCTTGACCCCACCTATCTTGTTACCTGATTATTGGTTAATTTGCCCCACATGTGTTCTCTCGTTACCCTCCTCATTTGCTCCCTATTTATTCTGTTTGCAGTCCCGTGCCAGTTCGTCATCGTATCATCCTGGATGTGTCCTGATCCTGCCTTGCCTTGCCTTGTCATGCCAGCCTGTTTTTCCCCCACGGGGTAGTTTTTTGTTGTTGTTTTATTTTATTAATAAAAGCCCATTACTCTGCACTACTGAGTCCTCGCCTCATCCCTTCATCCCCAACCCTGACAGCCGTCGTAGTAGTCAAAGTCAAAATTGTGAGATAAAAAGTTGCAGTTACATTATTTATATTTTTATTCTGTCAGAAATAAGCTTCTAGAAATCCAGAAAGCTGACATTTTAGCATATCTGTGCTTTAATGGAGTTCACTTTTCTTATCTCAGGAATTTATGATATGTGTGATATACTGTACATAGACTAGGCTTAGGTGTAAGCTTCACAGTTGTGGATGTCATTTGTTTTCTTATTCAGGCCTAAACAATAGGCCTATACAACGATAAAATGTGTGAAAATATGTTAAAATGTTTTTCAAAGCATAAAATTAAATAATTGTTCATGTATTTACCATAAAACACAATTTAATTCATTTTTACATTAAGTTCATACTGTTTTATGTTGAGTGCTCCGGCACATGTAGTCCACTGGATTGGACATTTCTGTAACTTTCTGAAAAAATCATATTTAAAAAAAAATTAATTGTTTTTTTCATGCCCTAAGAAGAATACAAACACAAAAACAAATCTTGACTCAGGCTTTCATAATTCATGCATCAGAGGGCTAATTTAGATAAAAAATACAGGCCAATAAAGCAACTAACCATATTCTTCCTATACTCATATTTTCATTCTTTCTTGTCTTTTGCTTAAATAAAATACATTAAAAATCAGTATTGGATTCTGCCAGCTATGCAGTTTCTGTGTGAATGATCAGTGGTGGCAGTGGCTGCGATGCAAGGAGCACCAGCTCAAATCTTGCCTAGGGCCGGCCCTGTATATAATACAGCATGTGGTGTATGCCATGCCTCATCTTATTCGTTTTCGGCTTATAACACAGCAAAAGAGGAACTCCCGGTCACAAAACTCAAATCACAAATAATACTACTGATGAAAAAGAACGGGTTGAATATTAACCACTTTCGTTTCCATATAACTATAAACTATGATAAAAGTTCATCAGCATGCATGGATTAATCCTATGTTGTAGCACAAAAAAATAAAAAAATTAAATATTGCGACCAAATCACGTGCTCGTGTGACCAAATGAGAAAGTTAGTCGCAAAAGAGTGACCAGTGGGAAGAATGAGTCTGGAGCCTTGAACCATGTTATTTCCTTTATCCTTATTGAAAACAAAATAACTGAAATTTCCAGACATGAAAACGTTTTTCCCAGCAGGAAGCATCATATTTAATTTACTGTAGCATCGTCTCATCCTGCGCTTGAGGAGGATAATTGTAGACGGCCAAAAAAATCATGTGCTGGTGTGACCAACTGAGAAAGTTAGTCGCAAAAGAGCGACCAGTGGGAAGAATGAGTTAGGTGCCTTGATATATATAGTAATATATAATATATATTATATTATATAATATATATATAATATACACATATATATATATATATATATATGGCGATAATACCGCCGTACATATTGAGCCACTCAAAATTGCCACAAGGGAAATTCATTCACCGCGACAGCCCTACTTTCTTTGTTCAAACATTTAAACTAGGGATGTTCATTTCGGTTATTTTTCCTAACCGACAACCGACGCTCGTTAACCGTTAACCGACAAGATTATTTTAAATTAGAATTGAATTAAATTAGAAAGGATAAATGTCTGTGACCTGTTAAAAAATACTAGCATTTGTTTACCTGGGATTAATGACGCACCTGCAGCACTTCTGCCAGTGGAGAAAAACATCATAAAGCTAGGTTATTTATATATATAACGAATAAATAGGCCTATACGAGAAACATATTTTAGCGTAGCGTATTTTAACCATGCAGCAAACCTTTTTAAATATTTTGATAAATTACTGAAAAAATAAATCATTAAATGACTTTTTAAACTGTTTAACTAATTGTATTAATCGGTCAAAATTCTTACGGTCGGTTAACCGGTTAAAATGAACATCCCTAATTTGAACTTTTATTTGAATAAAATCGCAGCCTTGTGATTTGGTGCTATCACTCGTGAAGCCCCACTAGCAACCACTTAGAACACCCTAGCAACCATAAAACAGCTCCCAGGCGACCTACATCACAGTTAAACACAGCTCACGTTCACTTTTACATTTCCTGTTCAGACTGATGGTGAAAGACTCTGAATAAATCACAGTCGTCCAGACGGACCCTCACTGTTTACAGTCGTCATGGCAACATGCCACTCCACTACATTCCACTCGCCGTTACCACGGAGACGGGTCAACCTCGCAGACACAGACAAAAGACAGAGCGTGTGTGTGTGGGTGTGGGTCTCTGTGTGTGTGTGTGTGTGTGTGTGTGTGTACTGGTTTATATATCCTGGTGGGGACTTAAACCTGACTACACACAGACTCATGGGGACTCGTGTCACGGTGGGGACCTAAATTGTGGTCCCCACGGGTACAAAAGCTTATAAATCATACAGAATTAAGTTGTTTGAAAATCTAAAAATGCAGAAAGTTTCCTGTGAGGGGTAGATTTAGGGGTAGGGTTGGTGTAGGGCAATAGAATATACGGTCTGTACAGTATAAAAACCATTACGCCTATGGAGAGTCCCCACAAGGATAGCTGAGTGTGTGTGTGTGAGTGAGGAACCAGTGACGGACCGTCAATCATCTCTTTCGGGTTCTTGAGCTACGGTTCGGTTCTTTCTGAAGAACCAGACTATGACACGTTCTTTGATGAACTTATTCAGGTTCTCCAAATGACCCTGTATTGTAAGTGTGTGTGTGTCTCACTCTCTCGCTGATGGCGCTGTATTTGATGGCCAGCTCATCTCGTTCTGCTCGGCTGTGAGCCAGAAGATCCTCCACACGACTCAGTTCCGTCTGCAGAACCCGGTTCTCCTCCTGAAGCGACAGACCCGACGACATGCCTCCAGCTGACAGACAGACAGACAGACAGACAGGTGTTGGATGTGTGGAGCTCAGTGACGGTGTGTGAAGGTCTGAGGGGTCTCACCGCTGTCGCTCAGGTTCCTGGAGACGATCTCTCGCACACGGGCCGGTAAACTAGCTGCAGGTTCATCTGGAGAAGATCCTCGAACCGTCAGCCGCTTCTCCTCGGACAGAACGCTCTCCTCCAGCCTCTGACACACACACACACACACACACACACACACACACACACAATGTCACAGTGTCTGTAGCAGATGGTCTCAGTGGTGATCTGTTGTATATTTAGATCAGATCAGAACACACACCCGCGGAGTCACTAATGCGACATTAAACCAACAGCTCAAGCACACACTGTAAAATATGTTTTTAAGCTGTAAACAAAAAGATTTTTCGATTTCGTTTTACACAGAAAATACCATTTCAGTCTTTCTACTTCAGATTTTTTATGTTCCATGTTTTTCCATGTATTCTTTCCGGTTTCTTTGTAATTATTTGTGAAATCAATAGCAATTTCTAAGCAAAAATAGTTTTACACCTATTCTTTTGGGGTAGTTGTTCTAATAATGGAGTAAACATGGAACTGCACCTGAATCACCGCCTCGAGGTCTTCAGAAGCGCTCATGACGAATTAGAATCAGAGCAAAATCCGTTAAAATTTAAATCACAGAAATCGCGCCGTTCGTCACGTGGACTCCCGCGCGTTTCCTAGCAGGAGTCCGCTTCATAAACGAATCTTGATAATAATCCAGTTATTCCGAGCCTTCCGTTCGGAATCTAACACCGAGAGAGAGAGAGACGGAATGAGACTGAGAAAGAGAGACAGAGAGAGAGAGAGAGTGTGTGTGTGTGTGTGTGAGAGAGAGAGAGAGAGACTGACAGCAGGAGGCTTTAATGAGATTGACTGAGATCGAGAGAGAGTGTGTGTGTGTGTGTGAGAGAGAGAGAGAGAGAGACTGACAGCAGGAGGCTTTAATGAGATTGACTGAGATTAAATGTGCTCGAGCGCAGCGCGCAATCAAAAGAGAATAAACTCATAAAATACCTGCAATAAACTACCTCATAACACAGAGAGCTGAAAGAAAACAAGATCTGCAGAAATACCAGTAACATGTGATTCCACACTGAAACTACTAACTGCACTAACTACCCCATCACCATGACAACAGCCCCATCAACAGAAAGTAACCGCCACCAAATCCAGTCAGAGATTTGGATTATTATCTGAGGAATTGCTCAGAAAGAGACTCGAGTTTACATATTTAATATATCCCGTGTAACGTCTTCGGATTAATATGTAGTTGGTTGTGTTTTCAGTGTTTCTTAAACACACAGCGAGAGTGCGCCCCCTGAGGCGCGTTCAGGAACTACACTGCTCTCTCTTTCGCTGCACGACATAAACCCATCACAAACACAGGCGCTTTTTTATATTCTAATCCATTTTTTGAGTAATTTACGTCTTTGTGTGTTTATCTTTAAACACGCGTCGACTCGAATAAAGAATCCTCCGGCTGCGGAGAGACTCCGCGACGCGATGCGACGCTTTACAGCGCGATTAATTAACGGATCATGTTAATACACTGATGACGAGTGGTCGATCGCATTTATTAATATTTCAGCAAATCACGAAGGATCTTACCGGCACAACGGCATTAATTCCGCATTAAATCCCCATTGTGTGTGTGTGTGTGTGTGTGTGTGTGATGCTCAGTCTGGACTCTTTCCGGGGTCACACTCACTTCCCGCGCATATAAAAGACCCCAAATCACTGAATCGGGATTTACATACAAACACCGGGATGCACTTCAGCTATTGTGAACTGCAGACAACCATGAAAACCACTGAACTCGTTAAATACATATGAAGACATCAAATTCAAATCTATGTATTCGTTTTCATTAGAACAGACAGCTCATGTACAAACTCACCGGACAAATCAGACGCTCTGATTCACAACACAACCACAGCTCATGTTTATTTACTTATGTTAATGAGCACATATCTATGGAAGCCCGTTACGGAACTTTTTAAAAAAGTAAACCAAAAAAAAAGTTTTTGAAAATTGTGATTATAAACTCAGAATTGTGAGAAAAGAATCATGAGGTAAAAAGTCGCAATTACCTTTTTTATTTTATACTTTATGCGTGTTGTAAACAGAATTCAGAGGGGGGGGGGAATCAGAATTGCGCAATTAACGAGCTTTCATACATATCAAATACTATTATAGTTTGATACAGTTAATTATAATAACTTCAGGCTAACTCGACCCTTAAAAGAAAACAAACACGTGAATGATTCTTACCTGAGGACGTCAACAAGTGGAGGTTGTGTCACATTTAGTGCCTTATTTTGAATTATTAAATTGAATGAATCAGTATTACTGCAAAAAAACTGTAAAGCTGACACTTTATTAAAGGAAATGGCTTATTCATATATATAAACCATCATTTGTACATTCTACAGGTGTTTCATAAAGGCACTTGAAGGAAAGATTAAGACTTTAATTACTGACAATATCAAGAATAAATCTGTAATCACCTGGAAAAATAAAGCGAATAAAGTCTGGGGTTAGTCCAAAATATATAGTGTGAAAAATCATCTGCTTATAAACACGTATAAAACCAGCTCTTCAAATCCTGATCTGAGTGGAAATAGCAGTTTGAGTCAGACAGGTCACATGACGCACAGATAACACAAAGGCGGAACTCAAGACGTAAGAAGAAACGAAAGAAAACCTTACCGACATTCAGGAGCTTTAAAGCTGAAGCGTGTCATTCGTTTGAGTGTTGAAATGCAGCCTGACGGCGAGTCACTATGAGGAAGTCACTTCATGAACTTCCTGTAAACACGAACTCTCTATTGTTTGATTCTGTTAACTTCTGCCTCGACCAGTGCTGTGAGTTTGGGGCGGGGCCAGCCGTTAGGCCGACCAATGGGGCGAGTGTTCAGGAAACCTGTTCGAACACAGGCATTAACATGACACATTTCAGCTTTAAAGTTAAACGAGAGACGATACTGACGACATTTATCGCACGTGTGCGAATAACTAATGAGAAACATGTTTGAAAGTCAACACCAGCTGGAATGCAGCAGATATCAGCCGTGCAGCTGCGCGTGATTGCATAGAAAACAGCGTCCGTGTGTCGTCGGTTCGCTAGAACTGCACCCATCCCGACCGCGAGTCCTGAGCGGACCTGTCGAACACATCAGAGAGTGAGACGCCTGCAGACGGACGGACAGACGAACCGTTTGATGTTCATACTGACCCGGAGCCTGCAGCCGTGAAATCACCCCACAGGTCCTGAGAGGGCGGAGCCACGGCGGGGGCAGGGTCTCCGAACTCCAGTATCATCCCTGAAAGGGGAGGAGCCGTGTATTAGCCACACCCACTGATGGGACTGATAAATGCGCAGACGTGTCGCTCTCACCTGGGCTGGGCGGAGAGGCGGGTGTCGTCTGCTGCGCTGCGGGCGGAGGAACCAGAGCGGAGGATTTGACTCCGGGTGGAGGAGGAAGCAAAGAGCCGCCCATCGGACGAGACTTTGCCGCTGCGCCGCCGGAGTCTTTCTTCTTAATGTTCTGAGAGAGAGACAGAAGTCAACACCTGTGTGTGTGTGTGTGTGAGTGTGTGAGAGTGTGTGTGT